GGCTTCCCCTGTCCAGCAGGTGTAGAGTCTCTGTTCCTCCTTCCTCGTATTACTGCGTTTTCCAAGTACTTTGGCTCAGTCGCTCTGAAAATGCCACGAGGTGTGATTCAGAGCTGACCGGAGAGAATCCGGGAGACACGCAACCAGAGCGGATTTCACATTTCACCCCAAAATTCTGGAGAGCCTGTGACTGGGTCCCCATGGTTCTATTCCAGGTGACCTGTCGGCGGCTCTGTCCGTAGTCCCCTCAGTGTGGTCCCGGCCGCAGGGCAGGGCTGTGCCGGTGGCCAGGGCGGGGCTGTGCAGACTGCTGAGACTAACACGGCTCTCGTTTGACAGGAGGACCTCCATTTCGGGGAACTGGAAAACCAACACGGGCTCCGCCATGCTGGAACAGGTGGCCATGTCGGACAGGTGAGGCTGCTTCCTGCTTCCTGCTGCTCCGCCGCGATCGCGAGAGCCTGCACACGCCCCGCGAGAGGAGGCAGAGCTGACCGACTGTCCGCCCGCTTTAGGAGGAGCCCCCAGATCCGACACCTGTGGGGGCTTTGAGCAGGGAGGCGAGTCAGGGCTGCAGCAGTGGGGCGCCCCAACCAGCCGTGAGGCATGAACAGGGGCGCCCAGCTTTCCTCCGGGAACCCCTGAAACAGCTGCCCGTCCTGGCCTGTGAGCCTGCGTTGTGGGGGTTCAGCCGCAGTTTGTGGGTGTGCAAACTGCTTAATACTGCACTCTGGACTCCTGCACACGTGGCAGGCGGAGAATAAGTGCGAAGCCCGACGGGTGAAGGGTGGGGTTTCCCCGGTGAGCCTGCGCACTGCGGGCGGCGTTCTCACCTGGCCTCGCTGTTGCAGGTACCGGCTGTGGGTGGACTCCTGCTCGGAGATCTTCGGGGGGCTGGACATATGCGCGGTAGAAGCCCTTCATGGCAAAGACGGCAAGGATTACATCATCGAGGTGAGAGGCTCATCTTCACAGCGCGCTACGCTTATCCTCCTGTCTCACGCCTGCTTCATCTCTTGTTGGTCTCACACCTGCCTTTTTTGACTGAAGGACTAAAATCTTGGTCCTGAAGAGACAAAGCCCTGCAGGGGGGCTTTAAACAGGCAGTAAGCAGAGACCTGCAGAGCTGAGTTTGGGTCAGACAGCGAGAGACACTGGCGGTGTGCAGCAGGTGCAGCCGGAGTCGGACTGTCTGCCCTGCGGGCCGGCTGTCAGGTTGTGACCGGGCGCCCTGCCCCTCTCTCCAGGTGGTGGGCTGCTCCATGCCCCTGATCGGAGAGCACCAGGATGAAGACCGCGCCCTCATCGCTGACCTCGTCCTCAACAAGATGAACCAGACCGTGTCCAGGACCCCCATCCCCTCGCCCCTGCGCCCCACGGCTGCCGCGCAGCCTGCCCAGGTACCGCGCCCTCGCCAGGCCCTGTGCCGCCCGCTCTCTGGAGAAAGCTCTGCGCTCACTCGGCTCTTGACCCCCGGCTCTCCCTGTGCTGTACCTCCACAGCCCCCCGTGCCGCAGGCGGTCTCTCCCCAGCCCGCGCAGGCACAGCCACGGCCCGCCCCGGGACCCCAGACAGGACCCCCAGCTCAGCAGCGCCCAGCGCCACAAGGTGAGCAGCGACACTGACTCGCACCCGTGTGCAGGAAGACGGGGGCCGCAGGGCAGGAGCCAGCAGCTTGCAGCTGGCGGCTGGGATATAAGGCTCAGGAGGGCAGAGCAGGGCAAGAGTGTCCAAACCAAGAGGGATCTGGCCGGGAGGGGTGCGCAGCTCAAGGGACTGAAAGATTGTCGATTGTGAACCAGACTTCTCTGGCCAGACCCGCAAGAGGATGACTGTAGCGATGCATATAGTGCCTTTCCAGAGAGATTTGCACAGTGGGGTTAGAGTACAGCACATTACATGATCAGTGCAAGAGGTAGTCACGTTTCACAGTAAAAGCTGAAATCACTAAGGTCAGCCACCCAAAATCAGGTAGGCAGCTGCGGCTGCAAAGGAGCAAGTAAAGGTTTATTTCATGCTGAAAAGAGAAGAAAAGAAACAGAATGTTTCGGCTGTGGAGCCTTCTTCAGCTGTGTTTCTTTTCTTCTGTTTTCAGCATGGAATACACCTTGATTTGTTCCTTTGCAGCCAAAATCGATGAGTGTCAAAATGAGAGTTATTGGTTAAACAGGTAGAGCTGAAGTTCATGTAGAAAACAGAACAGTATTCATACCATTAATACTCCATATGTCACCGTACAATGTAAGATGTACAATAGTGCACCAGATAATACAGCACACCACAGCACAGTCCTACAGTTTAATGCTGGACGCTAGTTCCCTCCGTCCTCTCTGAACATCTCCCTTCCCTCTGGAGCAGAGAGCCGGGTGGTCTGGTGCTCTGGACAGTCAGCCGTGCTCCTCACAGGGACAGGGGCAGGGGCATGATTTCAGGGATGCAGGTTGTTCTTATCTTTGTGGATTTGGGATAGGGGAGCAGAAAGGGGGTCTCTGTGTCCGCTGTCCGCGAGTCTCCCTGAGGACTGGACGGCTCTCGCTGGGCTGTACAGCGCCATCTTGTGTTGCTGGGGGGTAATGACAGTGAAAGAGGCAGCAACACTGCCGCTGACTCTGAAGATGGGGATCACAGGCAACTTATCAATCAGTTCAGCGGTTCATCTGTTTGCTTGGTCCCCCAGTGCTGAACGGTACTCAGACTTCCGGCCCAGATCATCTCTCATTCACTCAACTTGACAAATCACCTGCTTTAATTGATCACAGCGAAACGGGGGGGCGGGGGCCCCTTGCTGTACTCAGAGCTGCCCCCCAGACCCTGGGGGCCGAGCTCCAGCTCCAGGGGAGCTGTGGGGCCTGGAGGAGCGCGCTGGGCTGGGAGTCTGGGAACGCAGCTGAACGTTCGCTCAGTAATGATGAGACAGCGATTCCTCCGCCAGCCGCGTAATTACAGACCGGCTCACGCTCTCCTCCCTCCTCTCCCGCTGTCCCACAGGCGGCCCCCCGCAGCCTCCCCCGGGAGCCCAGGCC